AGTATTTTTCTTACGACATTTATCCTGCAATTTCACCGAAATCGAACCTTGGCAGCGGATGTTTCTGTGGTACTTCCCTTCCGTCCTTATGACGTTCAATAGAATAATTAAGATGCCATCAATACGTTACTGTTACATAACGTGGTAGTTATACACTATTGGAAGCTGCTCTTTAGATACACGTTAGCTTAAGCTATAGAGTTCAAACTTTACCATAACGTTAATACCATCAAAGTTATCATATGGAATAGATAGAGAAGCTTAGAGGAAATCTATTTATTCATCAGTAAAAGGCTTTGTGGGTATAGTTCTGGACACATCTTAAATCTCACACATCTCCGTAAAACTCTCGGATTACTTTTGCACATTACAGACTAGGTTAAGTCCTTGCATGACTGGATACAGCGTTATGTAAACACTTTTGGAAACGGCTGGAGCGCCGAGCCGAGAAAGCGTGAAAGTGCTCTCAACTTGATTGGAAAGTGAGAGTGGAGACCGGCGGTCAACGTCCGGACCCGAGCGGAACTGTGCAGCTTAAGAAAACGGGCGATGACGCACGTCTTCCTTTTGTTGGCTACATTTCCTGCCCAAAGTAGGTAATAACGCTTCTTAAGAAGGCGGGATTAAGACCTGGTGTTGACGCAACAGGTACGCACACAGCGCCGACAAGAACATTTATTGGTTATCGGCCAGGAGGTGAAATCTGAAGAACCTGCAACAAGAGGATTCAAGTTTACTGACTGTGTCGTTATGTTATCATCATCAAAAAATTAGGTTTTACACCCCAATCTGACCCCGTCAGATGGGTAGTAGGGGGAAGTTAAAGCCCCAGACAGCAACCAGGCTACCGAAGCTCCACGACTCAAAAAGTTACGTACAGTGCCGATTCATAAATTCAGAAAAATAGCAGCACGTGCCAGCTTGCCAGATCAGAGTTTGTCAATGTGTCAAGGAATTCGAAAGCATGGGTAGTCCATGGTAGTTGGCGACAATACGGAGCTTGGCACCCAGGTTACCGAAGCTCCACGACTCCAGAACTCAGTACATACATGTTCGTACAGTGCCGATTCATAAATTCCGCAAAAAGCCGGCTCGTCGTATACGTCGCCATATACTGCCGCAATTCACAACACTAGCTTTCTATTCCCGTGGTTTAGTAGCATTTTTACCTCCATGAAAAATGGAGGTATTGTTTTTGGCGTGTCTGTCTGTATGTATGTATGTATGTATGTATGTCTGTCTGTGTGTCTGTCTGTCTGTGTTTCCGCAACTTTGTGGTAAGCATAACTCCGGAACGCCTTTATGGATTATGATGATATTTGGTATGTTGGTAAGTCTTAGGAAGACAAACGTCAAGGTCAAATATGGGCCTCCTGGTGGATGACCTTGGTACTGCAGCAGAACTTCCGGTTTTTGTATCTTTTGTCCTGAACATGCTATGGTCTTGAATTTTTGGTGGCAGATTGCTTTTTCTGTCAGGAATAAGTGGTGTGAGTTTGGTCCCCCTAGCAGCTTGTTCTGGAACTGCAGGGCACTTTCTGGCGAAATGTTTAAAAGCCAATAAGTCAAGATAAGAACAACAAATTTTCATAATTTTTGGTGTGTAGGTAGCTGAGAGAGAGATGTACATGATTAAATGCAAATTAATGCAAATGAGGACTTTATTTGCATAATTAATGAGGAAATTCTATAATTACAGTGTTTTACATTATACTACTTTCATGCATGTAATGTATGTAACCTATGGCAGGCAGAACATCAACAGATACTAATTATGCAAATGATGACCTAATTTGCATAATTTATGCATAAATTCTATGATTTCTTAATGGTGAATGATGGGAATGTCATACTTGGGACATCTGTAAGTTAATCAAAAGTTCACATACATCACGATGCATATATCATGTTAATGCAGATGTAATTTGCATAATTAAAGAGGAAATTTACATTTACATATCAAGCCCATATTTCATGGAGGTATGAGATCTCGGAATTCTTGTTATTTTTGGTCGGAAATTTTTTTTTATTCGCCCGCGCGCATTAGTGTGGCCTTAGCAAGGCTAGTAAAGTGTAGTGCCAAGATTTGTTTGTGGTCACACAAACGTTTCAGAAGGCGAAGGACGTAGGCCTACAGGCTTGTGAAGTATTCGTCAGACTTTTTGCTGTTCAGCGGGTCACATAACAACCGGATACACAGGTAATCGGACGGACGACCATTTCTTCTAGTCGATGAAACGCGTTTCCTGCTAGAACTTTAACTTAAAAAACGTTCTTGCAACAAAAAAACAACATGTTTTTTCGTAGTGATGATTCGGTACGATAATTGAAAGTAACGTATGAAAACATTCTTATTTACTGCAAATTCACTTGTAATTGTTTTATGTGCAAGTAAACAATACAATGAACTAGAAAGGTAACATTTGTGAAGAAAATTTTACCTTCGCATATGGTCTGCTCTGTTAATTACATTTATATATATGGTGACGGGTCTAAATCCCTCCTGCTATAAAATTGCAACATGAAGTAACCCAACACTAGTTACCATGGTGACAGACGTCTGGTTCAGGTCATTGGCTTTATTTGTTTGGAGGAGAAGAAGAAGAAGAAACATAATAAATAACTAGTTTGAAACAGTGCATCTCTCTCTTAATTATAAGTGGCGTCGGGTGGTGTAGTGGTTACAGCAATCGACTATGAACCGGGGAGACCCGGGTTCGATTCCGAGTCGTACCCGGTACATGTCTGGACATGCACTCCGACGTTGTGCCCTTGGGAAAGGCACTTAACACGACTTTCCTCACTCCACCCAGGTGTGAATGGGTACCTAACTTCGGTTGGGGAAAGTCGTATTGAGGTCACCTTGTGGCGCCGAATGGCAGCCGCACAGACCCTTGCGACAGTTCCACAAAAATAATTGTGGAACAAATATGTGTATCATGTGTATTATTTGATTGTTGTAATATTTGTGATTTGTATTGATTATTATGTGATACCCTGCATCAATTCAGCCGTATAAAGGCTGCGACTGCACGGGTACTGTTTGGACAATAAAAAATAAAATAAAAAACATTTAGATAAATTTTATAAATAGAATAAAAATTATAAGTATAACATGCACGTGTGATTTCTGAGTGACAAACAAGTGATGGAGCTCTCCCGGCCACTGACGTAACGGAGCGGCGTCTATTGCCCGGCTAATCAACCCCGTGAAAATGAGGAAATGACGCGAATCACGTTAATGTTGTTTGTGCAGAACTGTGTTATAACGGAAGTGTTAGCTATCCTAGGGCAGGTCATTTCCTTTTATGGCATTGATTTCTGTTCAGCCACTTGAAACGAGACGTAATGAGGGAAATCAGAACTTCGATACTTCCTGAAGTACCTGTCAGCTTTGCGCCAGACGAATAAACAAACAGGAAGTGTTGTTTCGGCAGAACTGGCGTGCTATGGAAACTAGTACCTGCATCACATGCATGCATATTAGATATTGAGCACGTCTTTGGAAGCATTGTAACCTGTCCTTCATATCTGTATCTGTATCTGTATAGCCGGTATAACAGCATTTCGGCGTAACACACCAGCTTCGCAGGCACGCGGCGCGGCGGCAGCTGGCTATATTACACCGATCGACCTGTTACACCTAACCCTTGAACTTCTAACTCTAGAGTATAGACATTGTTTATGTTTAAAGCTATCTAATGGCAATGCCCCTACTGTACTTGGTGACAGTGAGTTCCACTCTATAGTTCTAGGAAAGAATGAATTCTTGAACACCTCAATCCTTGGTTGATAACTCTGGTACTTGAAGGCATGGCTATTTCTTGTTCTCTTCTGGGCTGGTTTTAGGTACTCAGTAGTAGTATGATGACAAGAAATTGAATATTTCACACCCGCGTATTTAGTATTAAGTATTTAGGGTTGTTGTATGTTTCTTGTTTTATTCCTTGTAGTGAATTTCTCGACACTGATTCTGTGCATATTCCTGTGTCACGTCCTCCCAGCAAGACTAACTCCTAAAACCAAACTCATGACCTAAACCGGAAATTGTTGCAGTACCTTACAAATCCGCTAGGGGAAATCCCGTTAGCGGGACCATAATGCTTCTGCCCTTCCTGTCAATTTGCTGACACATATCCACATACAAAGTATTAAATATTCTAATCCATTCACAGCTTCTTGAGTTATATTGCAAACAAACCAACTGGACCACGCTATTTCAAAGGAATCACAACACTTGTAACTCAACACATTCAGTAGCTAACGTTAATACAAAATTTATGTGAAAAACAAGATGGAAAGAACGAATTTTCTATACTTCTCAGGTCCTTTCAAGTTCAATGTGAAATAAAAATCTCACAATTGGTTTGATCTCAATTGTTGACAAAATAAGATGCGACAAAGAGTACAACGCGTAGCTATGTAACGTGATGCCTCAAGTTGCGTATGGTCATGATTTCCAAACCTTGGAAATTTCTGAAAAAAAATTCTATTAAACCTTAATTCATATGCGCAAACCTGTCTCGAATGAAATGTTTCTCTTTTGTACTTACTACTTACTTGTACTTGAGTAGGTCTCCTCATCTCTGTGAGTGGCCTGTGTCAAAGTCGTCCCTCCGACTGCACAGCGTCTCTTTTGTAGACAAAGGGGTAGATTCTAGTATTAAGAGATGATAGGAACGAGGGGAAAAGACGTTAAAAACACACTGACCACGGCTTTAAAAAAATGAATTGCTACCAACAAGCATTTAAAATGGGACAATAACAAATGATGCAATAAAATTCGAGGTCATAGGTCATTCTACAGATCACTCTCGTTTCCAGGGTAGTCATGGAAAGGCACCTATTCACACTTTAAAAAATGATTACTCCTCCTGATTTCTATATTCAATATGTCTAATGCGAAACAGTTTATAAGACTATTGATAACTCTTTTCTGTTACACATTTCTGAGGCGACTTGCGAATCGGTTCTGGGAACGAGCCGAGGTCACCCTGTGACCTTATGGCGGACACGCCTGTGTTTCTGCATGCTGTGCGTACGAAGCGGCAAAGTTTTCGTTTTTGTCGCCTTTTCTCTGGTTGAACGTCGCAAAACCTCAGGCCCACAAGTCATGAGGTTGATTCAGACTTTTAGCGGTACCTTGAAGACGCCATGTCCGTCTTGCTAGCTGCTGCAACTCTCTGGATTTAAGGACAACGTCACGTACCAAGTTATCTAGTCATCGATGTTGTAAAATATTTCCGGCCTTCTATCTGTTGTTCACCTCGGCGTTTTTCACCATGACGGAATTTCTGATCGGAGGGTTTTCCACCTGCGGTGCCTGTGTGTTTACAAACCCGCTGGAGGTGTGAAGGAACATCTTTTTCGTCAGAAGACAGTATATTTTGTACACCCCCCTCCCCCAGACATAATCAGTGCAACAGGTTTTTTTTTTCATTTATTTAGGGTGGGGCTTTGGCATTCAAAGGTTCAGGTAGGATCCAAGCAATTTACTAGTTCACTCCCACAGAAGTTGTGTGTATATAGCACATATACAGCGTATAACTATCTTGTAACTTGTATAAACACGCTGATATACATCCACTAAAGTAAGATGATAAGAAATTATGGGAATTGTTTTACTTCGGACTTTTCCAAGAATAGACTTGTCATAGTATGTGGAATTATGATGAAAGGAATTTTAAAGTAATAAATCTTGCAAACAGTTATACATATGGTCAAATATGACAGTGCTGTCAATTAATAGTAAAGAATTTCATAGTATCTGACAGCAGGATTTTGACCCTGTTCATACCAGACTTATATTTAGCGGTTTCAACCGGTTTTTCAAAAACCGGTTTTTATTTAACCTGGTGTGAACGCAAATCAACCGGTTTTTTAGGGGTTTAAATCCGATTTTCAAAAACCACCTCGGGAGGTGGTTTTTTAAGGGTTTTTGAGGGGTTTTTCCACCGAAAAACCTGGTCTGAACGCTAAGGGTTTATTGAACCGGTTTTTGCGTCATAATTCCGGGGTCACGGGGTCAGCATCCTGGCTGTGGACAACCTAAAGCTTTTTTATGGCGTTGTTTTGACCAATTTGAGTTCGTTTCCACTGTTTTCCCACGGTTTCTTTTAATTTTGAGATCGATGGAATCAGCATACGCAACCTGGTCGACAGACGAGACGCTCCTGATACTTATTTTTGTATTTGTGGAGAGCTGGACTCGCCGAATTTGACAAAACTGGGGGGGGGGGTGCTCTACCGAAACAAACATGTTGGAGGAACCTGGTTTATTTAAGGATCAGTGCCACAGTAAAAGGTAATGAACATGAAGACGGTATACAAGAAGGCGACAGCAATCGGAAGAGCGGGAGGAACGGTTATTCAAACTGCATCATGCCCGATTAATTGGATATTCACCGGACAGGATTTTTAGAAAACCGGTTATGAAAAGTCTGGTATGAACGCTAAGGGTTTTAGCCGGGTTTTCTCCCGCTAATTATTTAGCGGTTTCAACCGGTTTTTAAAAGTCTGGTATGAACGGGATCTTTGTATCCATGTCGATCCTCGCTTCAGGTTGTGAAGACAAGAATGCAGCTGCAAGGTGAGCTGAAGTCCCGCGGGACGTACCAGCGTCATTACCGGAACGTGTTTCACGCATTCCTCACCATCGGCCGGGTGGACGGACTGACGGCACTACAGAAGGGACTGGTACCAGCATTATGGTATGGACTGAGTTAAGCCCCAGTCACACAATGCCTAATATGGCCTCCCTTACACTAGCAGCATTTTAGTTGTTATCATATTTGACCTAATTTTGAACACAAAATTTTCCAACACCATTAAAAACAAGAAAAACTGTATACTAGTAGCAACGTACATGTGTACATGTATATCTTGAAATCACACTGTAGTGAATAGTTTACAATTCAAAAAACACATTAACCAACTGGCCACTGTTTTACAGGTACCAGTTTTTCATGAACGGTGTTCGACTGGGTACATATCAGACCCTGGACAACCTAGGTCTGACTACAGACAAAGATGGGAACGTGGTTTGGTGGAGAAGTATTGTGGCAGGGGCAGTGTCTGGTTGTGCTGGAGCTTTTGTGGGCAGCCCTATCTATATGGTCAGTACATTGTTCAAACATCTTGAATGTCAGATTTCAGTCTCTTTGAGGAACAAAATATATTTTCTGTCAGAAATCATGGTGGTTTTTTGGCAAGAACAGAAGATAATACTAAAGCAAAGAATCAATAATGGCAATAGTGATTCTGTAATGATAATTTTTGATTTGAGTGTATCAAATTGAAAAGATATATAAAGGTCATAACCATATCCTTTCCATTCCGGGGGATGATTGATTGATCAATTGATTGATTGATTGATTGATTGGTTGATTGATTGATTGATTGTCCCAGGTGAAGACCCAGCTCCAGTCCCGGTCAGCCTCCACCATCGCCGTGGGTCACCAACACACCCACGCCAGCATGACCCAGGGGTTAAAGGCCATATACAGAGAATATGGCATCATGGGACTGTGGCGAGGGGTCAGTGGGGCCATGCCAAGGGTCACGGTGGGGTCGGCAGCCCAGCTCAGCACGTTCGCTATTTCCAAGGAGAAAATACAGAACTTAGGGGTACGACACTCTACAAAAAACACTTTATGCATTTTCTAGTCAAACGTATCAAACCAACAACAAAAGAAACCTAAGAGTTAAAACTTTCATTCCAACAAAAGAGATTGTTCTCACCTAGAGCTTTCGACCAGTCACTCTGGTCTTCTTCAATACACTGACCCAGTGAGACTTGTAACATGGCTTCTCTCAAGTGTGACGTCAACACTGGGTCAAAGGTGTTGAGTGAACCAGTGTTGTGAGTGACTGGTCGAAAGCTCCAGGTGAGAACTATTGCTCGTGTTGGAACAAATGTTTTAACTTTAAACATGTAACCTACACAGATGAAGCTTCATGACAAAAATGAAACTTGTATTGATGTACAATGTATTGACAATGTCATAATTGTAGACTTGTGTATCTGTTCCCATGTAGATATTTCCGCACAACAGTTTTGCAGTGCCGATGCTGGGCAGCATGGTGAGCAGCGTTGTCGTCGTCACATTCATGACACCGTTTGACGTCGTGAGCACGCGACTCTACAACCAGCCGGTGAACGCCCGTGGAAAGGGAACGTTATACCGGGGAGTTTGGGACTGTTTCCAGAAGATATTCCACAAGGAGGGAGTCTGGGGGTTCTACAAGGGGACAGCTGCGTCGTACTTCCGTCTGGGACCGCATACAATTCTTAGCCTCATTTTCTGGGACCGCTTCAGAGACCTTTACTTACATTTTGGGAAGGGAAGTGATTCAGCAGTATAGCACAGAAAGAATACAGCACAGAAGAAGAATTCGGAGATCCAGACCTCCAGGAAACCATGATGTTTACAAGCCACGACTTTTTAGGATTGGTTGAATTTCTCTCATAAAAAAGGGCTCTTTTTGCCTAGACAACTACTGATGCAATGTAAGCCATTTGTAGTTTGTTTTGCAAGGGAAAAACACCAGCTGGCAATGAGGTAATGTAACAAACAGACTGAACCTAGCCATGTCCATTAGGACATAACCTAAGGGCCTTGCAGAAACACAGACAGACACACGCACAGACATACCAAAAACATTACCTTCTTTTTTCATGCAGGAATATACAAACAAACCTCCAGGAACATTCCCAGATTTGGATATTACATAGATCCCACCGTGATTGTTCACTTGGAGCAAACTTTGCAGAGAATGAAATGTGAAAAGGTATCTGAAGAGAGTATTGCAGTTGAAGAGCATGTCGGCAGTACGTGCTGCACCTTATTTATCTCAAAGGCAAACAACACATTACACAGACTTACAGGCAGCAAGGCTGATATATACGTAGGTAAATAGGGGACAACATTTAATATCATACTGCACCTGCGTGAAGCCTGTAATGTGTTGTGCCAAGCACTTCAGCAGAATGTCTCATATAAGGTCGTATTCACGCATATAAGGTTAACACTACGTCTGTAGTTTCTAAATGTTATGTCGAAAAAAATGTCTGCAACAAGCAAATTTCTAATGCAACGTTGACCAAAAAACAACGAAAACTGTGAAAAATTGGGGTGTCTCGTAGATGCAGTACGTTCTGCCGACGTGCTCAGTTGAAGTTGGTCAGATTGGAACATGATTGTGACAGAGTATGGATAATGTGATGACAATGATGTAGAAGATTGTTGTTTTCTACAATCTGTTGGAAGGTGTAGAAGGCTGTGACAGTAGGTGGCAGTGCCTCGATACTGTGGCAGAAATTGTGTGTGAGCCGTATATATTCAAAATATATGTAAAAAATATAAAACTTAAAATCTAATACAATGTGAGGATATTGTCATAGGGTTACTAGTATCTTAGGTTATATTTTCTCTGGATTCTTAAAGTTGAGTACGAGCTTAGCACTGACATTGCCTTGTCGGCTTGTCTTATACATGTAGATAGGTAAAACTGTGCCTTTCCAGATATTGTCAAATGATGACGCTGGCTTCAGCAATTCAAAGCAGTATGACATGCAATCATTGGTTCTTTTTAATTTTGTGGATAGTTTTTTTATCATAGAAGGTCTTCAGAAAAGGGAAGAAGCTGCAATCAGGCTATCAATGAATAAACTGGAAAAAGTAATCAGAGATTGGAAACTTTGTCCATTGTACTTTTTACTAAGTACTAGTATCTGTCCTGAAGACGCTACCCACCTGTTGTTTAAGCAAGATGCCAGGGATACACACCAGAGCAAGAAAACAGTTGGGAAGAAGACCACTCATCGAAAATAATATAGACTCTTTTTCACGAATGTGTGGACTTGAAGGAGACGTCCATTCCATTAAGGAGGTTTAGCTCCGTGTTCAGTATATATCCTTCCATACACTTTGAAATTCATAATACATACAGATGGATTGTTGTTGTAAGAAATAGGTTTACGTTGTTCGAGGGTATCCAACTATGGGCAAAACACACATGTACTAGTGTTAAAAGACTACCAGCGAAGTGAAGTGAACCAGTGATAAAAACCCACCGCCAAAAAATGCCCGAAACACATCAAACCACCACGCCTCTGCTTGGAGATGAAGCTATTGTCCCCACGTTGTGGACACGCCTAGTTTTACAGTTGCCATGGCGTTTTTCAGTAGCCTCGTGTGCAGGCTCCGGGTGGGTGGGAATTTTGATACAGCGTTTTGAAGACAGGTGCATTCTCAGCCACGACGAAATAACCTGTCGTCAACCTGTCGCGACCTCGCGATGCCGCACTGACACTGTATATCCTTCGTCCGACAAGGCATTTTTACTTGGATCCTTAAGATGCTGAAGAGGTGCACAACAAGCTTACAACGATCACCTCACTTTCTCCCCTACATAGACCAGAAGTACTAGTAGTGGTGGACTGGTTTGTTCACGGCCCTTATTATAGGTCCATTGTGACCTACATTGTATACCCGCAGGGCAGATTATTCTCACAATAGGCTAGCTGAAAACCTGTCCGAAAATGGGGCAAATCACCTGACTGGAAGCCGATCGTGCCGGCTACTTGTCTAACGCACGCCGTGCTAAAACAGTTTCTGCCTTGTCGGCGTTCGTCCTCGTCTTGTTCTTATGCCATGGCGGAGTTTCTGATCGGAGGGGTTTCAGCTTGCGGCGCCACCCTGTTCAGTAACCCACTAGCGGTGAATTTCTATCTTTCTTTGTATATTTTTATATACAGGTGGAAACAATGTTGCTATGCATGCCCCCCTCCCCAGTATCGATATCCTGCACTCAGTGTAAACGTTTTAATACTCACTTGGGTAGCCGATGATCGAATATGTCTTTTTCAAGGGCAAAGGGAGTCCACTATCCTTAGCGCCTCTTCGAGATCGTATTTGCGGTGTTGTTGTAGATAGCACGCATCGGGTACGTCGTCTACGCTTTTTAGGTTGCACGATTTCTTTGAATTTAATATCGCATGGCAATCGTGCTGTATATACGTATAAACCACCAGATATGTTCATGGTGAAGACATTGAAGGTGGCAATGCGATGACAGTCTCTTACAGATCTTCCTTTCCGTGGGTTGCGAGAAATGGTAAGTTGGCCAAACAGGGGGAATTATTTGCCAGATGCGTTATAGCCGATCGGACGTCAAAGGACGTCAACTTGGGCACAACATACGTACATGTACTCCTCTGGCAAACCCTATTTGGCCACCTTCTACTATTTTTCAGCCATCCATTGTTTATCAGATAAGGTAGTGGCAGCAGATAGCATAAATCATTTCAAGACTAAATGTCTGACCGTTTCCAAAATCATATCCAGTTGCTTGAGTAACTGTTTTTGGCGCATTTCAAGACTAGATGATCACTGGGACTGGGAGGGACGTGATCATGAGTACGCAGTGTGAACGAGTGAAGACCAGTGTATAACGTACTCGTATTAAAGGCCTGGAAACTTCACCGAGTGCTGAAGTGAAGGAAACGCAATAACCTAACCGGAGATCTTTAAGCCAATGAATTCTAAGGGCCACGTGTAGTCTAAAAACAACATTTTACATATTTTCCACCTTCCCCGGCTGCGAAGGTTGTGAGAACCCGCATGCAGCTGCAAGGTGAGCTGAAGTCCCGCGGGACGTACCAGCGGCATTACCGGAACGTGTTTCACGCCTTCCTCACCATCGGCCGTGTGGACGGACTGCTGGCACTACAGAAGGGACTGGTCCCCGCATTATGGTACGTAATGATATATAATATAATACGATATTAAAGTCGTGCCCGAGGGCTAATAGCAGATACACACGACATGTATGAAAAAAAAACACACATACACGTATAAAGGGAGACTTCTACAACATACGTGGTACTAGTTTTGCTGGGTGTGACTTCTTCTTTTGAGGCAGTGGAAGACGAATTTACCCACTTCTCTATAATTTGTGGGTTCTCTGGTACATGTATTAGTAGTACTAGCAGAATTGTAGAGTAGAATAATAGAGATGTGAGAATATTAGTAAGTGTGTCTGTTTCTGAAGTCACAGAGGTTTTGTGGTCACCTACTTTTTCCCAGAACCTTAGCATACACACTGAAGGTTAATACTTATTATGAAATTCCTGCATGTGATATTCTTTGATGTTAACAAAATTGTTCTGTGTTTCTACAGGTCACAGTTCTTCATGAGTAGTGTTCGACTGGGTACATACCAGACCCTGGATAACCTAGGTCTGACCACAGACAAAGATGGGAACGTGGTTTGGTGGAGAAGTATTGTGGCCGGGGCAGTGTCTGGTTGTGCCGGAGCTTTTGTGGGCAGCCCTATTATCATGGTCAGTGAAGACATCTTTCCGAAAAATAAACCATTTTTCTCTATTTCTTCTTCTCGTTCTTCTCCAAACACATAAGGTCAATGGTCTGGATCAGCCGACTGTCACCATGGTAACTGGTGCTGTAGCAGACACCTTGAGGTGTTGGATTACATTATGTAGCAAGGCAGAGTTGGAGGGGCTGGTTACCATCCTTGCATGTACATACTCTATATGAATGTGTTTGAGTAAGAATAAACACAGCAGTAGTTTGTTGGGCTAGAGTCTATGTGAGTGTTAACATTATGTGTTTGCTTTGCAAATGTTGGTTTTCTAGTTTCTTACACACTTTCTCATGATTGTGAACATGAGAAAAAAATACACGAAAAAAAACTACAATGCAACATTTTGACCTTTGTCCCAGGTGAAGACCCAGCTCCAATCCCAGTCTGCATCTGCCATCGCCGTGGGTCACCAACACACCCATGCCAGCATGACCCAGGGGTTAAAGGCCATATACAAAGAATATGGAATTCTTGGTCTGTGGCGAGGGGTCAGTGGGGCCATGCAAAGGGTCGCGGTGGGGTCGGCAGCCCAGCTCAGCACGTTCGCTATCTCGAAGGAGAAGATACGGAACTTGGGGGTACGACATCTTTGATGTCTTTGATTTTTGTAAAAAGATATCAACTAGAAAATCACTAACTGAGATGATTGTAACAGTTGGTCAAATTTCAGTGATCAACTCATTTAGACGTCTAGACGTTTAATAGGCCACGCCACAGTTTAATGTGTTGGTTCTCGGATTTAAAAAAATGAAGCGATAGGAAAAATACGTCTAGGCTGGCCTTAGCGGGCGTATACTTGGATAGTGGGCAGGCATCCTTTGATAGTCCCAAATATATGCTACTAAAAGAACCATCAAGTGAACATACCTAGCCTGGATTCTATCCATTTTGTTACAGGGCTCCTTTGCACTCGCTACCCAGAAAAAATTGATATAGAAATGATTAATGACTTTCTCACCCGGCCTGGGACAAACTGAACCCAACCATATCTATTACAACCTGCGGAAACACATTCAGGCGCACGCACACACGCACACACACCAAAACTGACAATACCTCCATTTTTCACGGAGGTAACAACGTGCGACCGTCTGCTTCTCCACAGATATTTCCACACGACAGTTTTGCAGTGCCGATGCTGGGAGCCATGGTCAGCAGCGTTGTCGTGGTTACGCTCATGACGCCATTTGACGTCGTCTGCACACGACTCTACAACCAGCCGGTGGACGTCAAGACGGGGAAGGGAGCGCTGTACCGGGGCCTGCTGGACTGTTTCGCAAAGATCGTCAAAAACGAAGGAGTCTTGGGGCTCTACAAGGGAACTGGGGCCTCGTATTTCTGCTTAGGACCTCATATAATCTTAGGCATGCTTTTCTGGGACCAGCTGAGACTACTGTACTTGCATACACAGAGGGGAAAAGACTTGGCTAAGTACTAAAAAGTAGATTTAGGAATTCGAAGATGCCTTTGACCCAATTGCAATGCTGATGTCACACTTCAGAGACGTCTCACTCGGTCAGACTATTGAAGAAGACCAGTACAACTGGTCAAAAGTTCAGTACTGTATTATATAGATTAGTACATTTGTAGTATTTAGAGTTATAAAATGATAAGGATAATTGTGTGTCTTAAAATGCACAGTGACTGTTGAACATAACATATATCACAACATGTCTTCTCAGACATTTGACATATTAAAGTGTTACATTTCATACAATTTCACTGGTATCGACTTGTTCCTGGTTCATTTCCAAAGTCCTCAATTGTCCTCGCGTACATGGCAACTGAGTGGGTGGGTGTGTGGTGGGCGCCAAAGTTTTCTGTCTATTTATTTTCCTTGGATGGTTGCCATGACAGTACATGCATGACGGAAAAATCACAAATACTGGACTTTCATGCCCCACCCCCAGCCGATACATTGTACATAACCTGACGTTTATGTCCAGTAGCACTGAGTCAACTTATCATGATATTATGTGACAGAGTGGGTATTAACGTTAGTACATAAAGTTAAGTGATACAGAACTTAAAGGCTGTTTGCATAAATCTTTAAATAATACCTAAAACAAGCACTGACTTCCAAAATGAGGATAGATTTTGACGTGTACTCCATACAAAGATAAAGGTGTTAGACCCTTCTTCGTACTTCCCGCCATTTTTGTGTCCAACCGCCAAATGAAATATGACGAGCTGTGAATGAATGTCTCAGAACATGAACGTAAGACTATTCCTACAAACACCAATGGTACTGGTGGTGACCTTAGAATGGTCCTCCCTTTATAGACCACAAGTGGAAGTCAAAAGGAGAAAAGATGGCAGAAAACGATGATCTCCTGCATCCTTGTCAATGGCTGTAGTGCACACAAAAACCGCGAGATGGCGTCAGTGCACGTGACAACAACAACAGCTGTGTTATGAATTATGCAGCAGTTTACAGAGGAACCCCCCGGGTTTTTCTGTAGATCCGGATCCAGGTTAGGGTCTCTGAAATTGAAAGTATTTTCCATGGCTTTTCGGTAGCGAGTATGTAGTACATGTGTATCTGGGAGTCCAAGTCGGTGTCTTCGAGTTGCAGTAAACGTAGGTAAGGTTTGACCTCTCTGTATCTTGGTACGAATCTTCGAATGGGCTTTCTTTGGTGCAGTGGGACATGCCCCAACGCGGAAGTGGGGAGGGGGGCAGACAGAGACCGCTGCTCAAAATAAATTCCCTGTGCCATTTGTTTTAAAACGGGTTAGAACTTAGAAGTAATCTAGAACTTATATGGATGATGTCTATAACGAAGCTGATATTAGGAAATGATTTAACGTTAAAGATTTCACCATTTACTTAGGTGACGACGGGCTGCTAAATTTAAACATACCTGCATAAATTTATCAATTAACATAATTTTCGCGCCAAAAATTAAGATGTCATCTACTTTTGAAATCCCCACATACTGCACTTGCAAGTTACATTTGTGACATTTATGGTTGGCACTAAAACAGCCCATGTAAGGCCCACTCATAAATTTTCGGGCCACCATCACAAAATGCTAGACTGAGAAATAATGTAAACAAACCTAGATGACAGCTGTGTATCTCCTAAAGGCGTCATATTTTAGCACACTGGCTTGCACTATGCAATAGGGTAGGGTTGGTTCACCTTACTTAAATGACTAGAATATCAACATATTTGTGCAATTATCTCACGTTTCTGACATTTATGGTTGATGCTGAAACAGCTGCCCACAAGGGGTGTACTCAGTTTGTGGCACCACCATATATTCCAGAATGTAAACAAACATGGCTGACAGCTGTGTTTCCAGTTAAACACACTCGTAAGGTGTGGTATTTTGGCACCACCACTCCCTGGACGGCACATTGCAAATGGAGTAGGGTTGATTCAACTTACTTTGTAAAAAAATACCCAGAAAATAATTTGACGTTTGTCCTAATGTTGCATAACGCAGCTTTAAACAGACTGTTACAGTGCAATTGTTAATGTCGCTTCAATCGATATCTAAAAAAAAGGAGAAGACAAAAAAAAAGAAAATCTCTATCTACTGACCCTACTTTTTTCTCAGGACTGGAACCAGAAACACAACAATTATTTTCCCATGCCTTATCATTATGCAGGTCAACAGCCAAACCAGCATGCAGGCCAACACTGAGGTACCAAAGATGGATGACTCTGGTATCCCTGTCCAGGCAAAGCGGAAGCCTGGACGACCCGCCACCCTTTCCCCGTTGGAAAGACAACAGAAAAGAAAAGACAAGTTTAAAAGCCGGGTGTTTTTACTTGACACCTTTGCGGAGTGGAGAGATGTACAGAAGAAGCTGCAACTGAAAAGCGACCGGGAACTCGCCCGCCTATTGTTGGACAGGTTTGTAGTTTTCTGTATGTACATACCGGTACATGCATGATGTAATGGTCACAATGTTCGGCTGGGACCTGGGTTTGATCCCCTGTACCTCATATTTCTGACATTTATGGTTCAAGGCATTAAAACCCACACGAGGTGCACTCAGTTTGCGTCACCACCAAAAACTACCAGAATGTAAAGAAACATAACTAACAGCTTTTAAACATACTCATAAGGCATTATATTTTGGCACCTCTACATCTTGAATGGCACTTATTTGCATTGGATTAGGGTTGATTGAACAAAAAATGACTAGAAAATTGACTTCATGTTATACTGCAGCTGTGTTATGATTTAACTGTACAATAAAATGCCATACATGTTTCCTGCCTACAGATATTCCAGCAGCACTCAAAGTACCCGGAAAACACTTGTACTGGAGCGCGGGTTACTGACCATGTGGAACAACATCATGGCTGCCAAGGGCTTCAGCGACGACATGGAGTTTCTGTGGTTCCTGCTAACTGTAGGAGCCGAGAGTTCCAGCCAAGGTTGGCCTGGTGTGAGTAGTACGACAAGTATGGCGCCAGGACAAGGGGCTGCTCGCAGAACCCCACAAAAGCAGACGAGCTCGAACAAATGTGTGCCCGTAAAAGTTGACTATGTTGGGCCGGGTCGTATGGTGGCAGGCCCCAGCCGTCAGGCAAATCCTGAGTCGGTCGTCCCGGCAGTCGCGTACCGTCCACCCATCAGAAAGAACAGCAACAGTACTACAGTCACGGCTGCCCTCGCTGCTGACAGACGTGTACCGGCTGTAGAAGGTGATGGGCATGCTAACGACGGATCACTAACGGACACCGACACGGCGTCCGAATCGGAGCAGCATTGTGAAGGTCTTCCTGTTAAGAAGGAAAATGAACCAGACCCTGGTAACTGTACTAAAACCAGTTCTACATCTCAGCTTAGCTTCGGTACAGCTGACACTGAGGAGGAGGAAGAGATCGACCGTGATAATCATGATGACGCAAACCTAACGTCTCAGCCAAGCTCTGTCACAGTTGGTCCTCGTGATATGAAGGAGGAGGATGCATTCGAGACAGACCTTGTTGATTACCATACTAACACCAGTAACGTTACATGTCGGCTGGGCTTTGGCACAGAGGATAATGCAGAGAATAGCTTTGACGACGGTGGTAATACCAACCTCACTGTTGCCAAAGCTGGAGAGGAAAGAGTACCAGAAGATGGCGATTACTTTGATGAAGAAGGCGAGGAAGATTTTACACCTTCAGAAGACGATGGAAATGGTGACCAAAGTGATGATTCATGGCACCCACCATCAGAAAGGAAAAAAATCACCAAAGCCACCAAAGGATCAGCTGACACTAGTAACAGTGAAGATGCATCCGTGGAAAGGGAGGGCAAGCCAAAAAAGCAGTTGGTTTGTGAATGTGGGGAAACCTTCGACTCTCAATCGCTGTACTACAAACATAAGATAGAGGCCCATCCCAGAATCTGTGAAATCTGCAACAAAAAGTTTCCTACGGCAAACGCGTTAAACGTGTGTCGACGGACACACATGTCTGACGAAGAGAAAGCAAACTTAAGTGAAAGGGACAGCCTGTCTTTCTGCGATCTCTGTCGAACGTTTTTCTCGACCAGGAAACTAAAAAAGCACATTCGACTCGTACACGGTGGGCTAAAAGTACGCTGCTCCAGCCAGAGAGATGGTGAGTTGGAAGGCAGCAATCCTGTCTTTAAAAGGAGAAGAAAAAGTAGAATGAAATCGGGGGATAAAGTCCCCAATAAAGTCCCCAAGAAGCGTGAGCGTGTCCCATGTACATGGGAAGGCTGTGAGAAAACGTTTGCTTTCCGCAGGGACCTGACAACACATCTGGTGTCGCACACGGGCAAACGTAGCCACCTGTGCTCGTACTGCGGCCAGATGTTCCTGAGACTGGACCACCTGAAGGTTCACCTGCGGATTCACACGGGGGACACACCCTTCAGGTGTGAACTGTGCAGCTACAGCGGGCGTCAGTCCAACTGTCTCAAGTGGCACATGAAGACCCACCACCCGGGATACTGTCAGGAGCCAGGTGACGGGAACAGTGCAGAGCCAACAGAAGACACATTGGACACTGCTGGAGACCTCTCTGATAATGTAAAGGAAAGTGATCTCGGTCCAGTTTTTCAACCCCTGTGAAGATCTAATCTCTGGTCAAAACAGAGAAAACAGATGCTTTGTACTGTATTAACAGGCTTATTGTACCTCAGTGTATTGCAAAGGTGGAGAACCAACCAAAAGATTTTGGTACAGAGAAAAGAATATTAGGGACATCAAAAAAGGCTGATGACACAGAAACTAATACCTATCTGTTATAAACAATATCACAAGGTTGCAGAAAAGAACAAACTTGTACATAGAGGAGAGTGTGGTACTAAGTAGACAGTTGAGAACACTTTGTATTTACTTCAATTTTCACCATAGTGACGTAGTTCCATGGTGACGTAGTTCTAGGAAAGAAGCTTTTCAGCGTGCAACTGCCCTAGTGAGCAACTGCCCTAAGGAATTCTGAAAATATTGCACCACAAACTCTTCAAACAAAAGATTGACAGCAACATTCATTATTTTTAGCAGCAGCGATATGGGATCATGCACATGAAAACATTACAGTATATACCTCCACACATGGTATACTGGTAGCCCTTTTTACTAATTTTAGGCTTGTGATGTTGTGTTTACTTCAGTGCCAGGCAGGTCAGTGTACTGTTGGTGTATTGCTGACATTCATGATTGTGATACATTTAAAGTTGAACTTGTACATAGTAGTTGGCATTAGTCTGTATAGTTTTAGTAAGATATCAATGTAATTATGTTTACCGAAGAAAACATATTGTTATGTGTTATGCTGGGCGATATGAAGGTAAACATATTAATGCATTTGCTTTGCAAACTTACCTTTCTCATTTTTACTTCTGCTTTTTATTCAGGACCTGTACATTTACTTAGCTTATAAAAGTATAAAGGTGCTACACACATGTAGTACAATAAAGGTCTTACATTTATTGGTTTAAAGAAGAGACTGCTTTACTTTTATTAAAATGCCATTGATATATTTTAACAAGGAATGTAGGACATTTTAATGGTCTGCCTTTTCGCGCATTATCTAAGGGATGAAGTTTTACAGCCTTACTAGTATATTGTAAACTCTTTTATTCTAAAGTTATACTTTTTTTTCAAAGCAAACTTAAAAGACTTTAGAATACTTTAACTATACTAGTAAGGAATCTGGATCACATGGTTCTTCCCCCCCCCCCCCAACAAAAGAGCCTCTAAGCTGGTTCAAATACAGCGTAGTGGCCTAAATTAAAGCGTGGGGGGTCAAAATGACAGTTTAGGGCTACGATCAGACTATTTTAGCGAGAACACTGCATGTATAACTCACTTGCTATGCACGGTCTTGTATTGCTCTCCTGTCAGGCAACTATGAAACGCTAGGCGTCGCTGCTGCACTGTGTCGCACTGCGCTAGTAAAACATTCAAGATGGCGGTGCTAACGAAGAAGCCGAGACGTGTGGAGCGCAGCGGCGGGAACAACTCATATAACAGCAAGGTAGCGGTATACCGAGATCTATAGGCCATGAGCTAAACGTGCACACTATAGAGGCTGTCTCCCAGCCATGGCACAGCCAAGAGTAACGCTCTTTGTGAACAGGAGTCGCGAGAAGGGTTGTGTGTGCTTGCTTCCGTCTGATTTCGAAGAGCTCCTCAAAATCGCCAGTCACAAGCTGAGCATTGACGCGAAGAAGCTCTACACGGAGCAAGGGGCACTTGTTGACGAGATTGAAGTGATCAGAGACAACGACGTGCTGTTTGTGTCAGCGGGAGAGCCGTTCTTTGAATCAAAAACAAACCGAAAGGAACCGTCAAGAACTTGTCATAATGGAGCCTTCCGCCAGAGAGCGCAAGTAGACCACGACTTGGACGGCCCATCCCAAACTGACTGGATTTCAGTAAACGTTGGAGGGAAGTCGTTCACAACCACCAGAAGTACTCTGGTGACGAAAGAGCCAGAAAGTATGCTTGCCAGAATGTTTGACGACGAATCCACAAGCCTGTGGTCACATGCAAGGGATGAATCTGGAGCCTATCTCATTGACAGAAGCCCTCTCTACTTCGAACCCATCTTGAACTTCCTCCGACACGGCCGACTGATTCTCAACCAAGGAGTCAACCCTGAAGGAGTCTTGGAGGAGGCAAAATTTTTCGGAATCTTCACTCTCGTGGAACTACTTGAAGATATCATCAAGAGCGGAGAACCCGTCGGAGACGGGACCCCGCTGACGAGACGAGAGTTTGTCCGTATCCTGATCGCGACGCCGTCTAACCGCGAACTCCGGATGCAGGGCATCAACTTTTCCGGGGCGGACCTCTCCAAACTAGACCTGAGATACATCAACTTCAAACAAGCCAACTTTCACAACGCAGACCTCTCCGGAGCCAACCTGGCCAGCTGTTCCCTCGAGCGGGCCGACCTCTCGAAGGCTGTCCTGGAAGGAGCGAATCTCCAGGGCGTGAAGATGGTCTGTGCGAACCTGGAGGGTGCCTCAATGCGGGGGTGTAACTTCGAGGACCCGACAGGCCTGCGAGCAAACATGGAGGGGTGCAACATGAAGGGCGTTGACCTGGAGTGTAGCCAGATGGGCGGGGTCAATCTGCGAGTTGCGACTCTGAAGAACGCCAGTCTGCAGAATTGCAACTTGAGGGGCGCGATTTTGGCGGGGACGGACCTGGAGAACTGTAACCTCACGGGGTGCGACCTGCAAGACGCGAACCTGCGGGGGGCGAACGTGAAGGGAGCCACGTTCGAAGAGATGCTGACACCGATCCACATGTCCCAGTCTGTGCGATAACTGGTGCAAAAACTTCACCTGTAGGATGTGTTTTATTAACGTATACATAAATCTTCAACATAAATTATGTATAGTGGGCCTACTCTCCGAGCAGATCATGTATTTCAGAGTATGAGTGTCAGGACTTTGTTCCAGAGACTAGCCTTGCACCAAGTAACATTACTAGTAAGTACTAGTACACAACAAGGGTCACTGTTGCCCTAGTTTTCCAGTGAACTGCCTATATGAAATATAGTTTGAAGATGCTAAACCCAAGTGCAAAGTACAGTGAAAGAATATAGCTTGAAGCTGTACTACTTTGTATTACAGAACATGAGCAAGGAATCTGCAATTTTATTGCTGCAGTTCAAGCCATGATGAATGCTGAGAAACCGTCTAGTATATGCCAGGCATGGAGGAATGAAAAAAAGGCCAATTCAGTAGTACTAGTACATGGCTTGTCTAGTTTTATTTAACTATTCTATGACATGAACTAGACTAAATGTTGCCCCTGCATTACATTATCCATTGTTATATACCGGTAATCTTGAATTTTTAGATGTTGCAGAATGACAAAAATAGTTGCAAATACAGTAGAGCTGTGCACTGGCAGTACAGTCTACAGACACATTTTTACTATGTATGTAGAAATTTGTCAGTTATTTTATTATTTTACTTTAATATTTCTTTCAAAGACAAGGAAATTAAATGTTTATAGATGTAGGTATGCTTAGACAACAGTGTTGAATATGTTTGGTGTACAGTGTGTATCGGGTAATGTAGGACAATATCAAGGCTGTAAACAAAGTGAGAAAGGTTATAGTTTAGAGGAAGTGTCCATAAGCATTGTATGTAAAAGTGCAACTGCAAGTGAAGTTTCACATTTGTAACCATGCAAAATTATTTTCAGCGTGTAATCCTTATTTTATACTGCAAAATGGCCTTGTATTTTGTGTCTTATACATGTACTTCAAGAGACCATGTGTTTGTCTACTTATTTGTAGATGCATGTACTGTACTACAGAAAGTAGAATGATGCTGATATCAGAAAAACAAACAAACAGTTCATCATTATATATATTTACATGTAGTACATGTACTAGATGTGCAAAGGTTAGATGTAACAGGTTGTTCAGTGTAATATAAACAAGCTGGCATGTTATGCTGTAGGGCAGTTCTGGTATACCAGCTATACAGATACAGGTACTGTGGACTTAATACCGGCATTGCTGTAAGCCCCCTGTCATGTATCGCCATAGTCGTGAAGTTTATAAATGAAGACGACAGAAGAAGGTGAAAAGAGGTATATAGTGGGGCAAAAACGTGACGAAATGTGCAAATGTCGATATAGAGATGGATATAGTGATATCCATATCATTATAGCACTATGTATTAGATGTACATCAGATATCAGAATTGTTCAGTCAAAAGTGATATTGATGAGAAATAAAAGCTAGTTTTTGATGTAATGGCAGTGGTTGTGAGCATGTTTGAGTACCAGTAACAGAAAAAGTTGACCTTTTTTTAAACCCCAAAGGGATGTAAACTGTTGGTCCCTTGCCAGGGAGTTAACACACGTCAGTATTTTCTATGATGGCCAGTTTTTTTTTGTTTTTTATTTTATTTAGAAAGGCCAATCAATGATAGGCTGCTAACCTGTTTAGTTACCTGCATTGTATAAAAAGATGTGGGTCCAAAAATAGTTTGAGTGGGCTTTCAATTTTTCAGATTTAGAAGAACAAATTATCTTATGGTTTACGTTTCTCTGGAATAGCAAAAATGGATTTTTTGAGGTTTGACTAGGGCTTTTTGTTTTTGAATATTTGCTGTGTGTTAGAATTCTGTAATGTCAAATATGGCCGCTGCGAGGCGCTTCTAAAAAGTTGCACTGGGCATGCGCCCGAGCCCTCCCATCCGCCATCTTGGGCTGTGAAAAGAAAAACACAGAACACATGCAACTGTCAACAGCACGGAAAAATCCGCAAAAACTTCGAAATGGCGACGTCTCTTAACGCCATGGTCGAGGAACCCGAACCAGGGACCCTTCCACCGCCAGGAAAAGTCAAGGAAGGTGGGTAGAAGTCTTAATTTGGGGTAAAAACAAAGCCTTTTGTGCGGACTTTCTGGTACTAAGGAAGTCGGTTAGACCAACTCGAGTCCGCCAAGGCCAAGTCTCGGACGTTGGACGAAAGACGGAAAAAATCTTTTTATCTGAAGCTTTATGTAAAAAATTATGTTATCTAATAAGATTATAAACTTAGGAAAATTACAAAGCAAGGCGAATTTTCAGGTATTAAGTACTACAAATGAAAAGCAACCTAAACTCTTGAAGGGGGAGGGAGAAAGATGATACTTAGTTCCGGTATCTCGAAAAGAAGAGGTTTTTGTTGACAACACTTGACAAAGTTATATATAACATTAACTTTTAAATGCTTTAGTTTGCCATATGTACACATTCATATACACTAGAAATGATGAAAAAATAGTAGAATCCTCAGCCCTTTGTTCCAAATTATGGTAGGTTTGAATCGTTTTGCATTATATTTTAATGTTACATAATTATATATAACGTTGTATTTTTATACTAGTACTTAGACTAACTTAAGTTAGACGGGTATTTTGACATAAATGTTACGAGATTTAGGAAACCATGGCTTCTCAGTTGAGAGAAAAGCTTGTGCAAAATTATTGTAAGAATTTTATAACCATCTAATATAAATTATACTGTGTTTCCAATCAATGCTAATAAAAAACACATACTACGTCCCAGTTGTAGTCTATAGCCTAATACGACTATTAGATCAATGTGTTTATTTGTCCCCAGTGGCTTTTCTGTGCCCATTTGCCATGTATCATTAGCAAAATCCGTTGATGGCTTTGACTAATGTAAGATCTAAATGTCAAGCTAGTTGAAAAGGCATCACGCTTCACCTCAGTTGAGGATGACAGCCGTTGTGCTAGGTCTAGTACTTGAATAAGTACTGCAAAACTCCTGCAGTGCTAAAACTGTGCTGCATGTATCAATTAACTCTGTGGGTACTGTCCTCTGGTTATAGTGGTAGCCTTTTCATTATCTGGCAGTTTGGTCTTCTAATGTATACTCTTACTGTCTTAGCCACGTCATTACCTATCAGATCTCTAGATCTACTTGTTCATTTCACTCACATTGACATAACAGTCTTGTTAAGTCCACCCTTTGTAACTCAGTGACATAAAGGGATACCCATTTACCTGTTCGAAGCTGATAACAATCTTTGCAGGACCAGTTTGATAATTGACTTCATCCGTCATAATCTAAATTGCAACGACATGAAGGTTACACAGCTGTCAGTATCAGTGTTGCAGAAAATGGTAATTGGAACATGTCGTAAAAAAAGCCAACATACATGTCTAGTTAGTTGTATCAAACAACTCTATTCTGGTGACACACTAAGCAGGATTAGAGTTAATCTGGAGATTTTGTTGTGGTCCCAAGACCAATCCTTTGTTACCAGTATCATATGGTTTTAGCAATTGTGTAAAAGACACAAAGTAGAATCATATTGTTGTTTACCTAATTCCCTCATATTTTTTGTTATCACTCAATACATAATGATGTCAAATAAAAAAAGGCATACTATACTAGTACTACAAAAGGTCTTTCTTTTTTTTTCCAAGCTTTTTTGTATGCTATAGGTCAGTAGACTACTGTCACTCAATATGAATTGGACCAACATTTTGAGGCACACCCTACAATCTAGCCTTGACGCCAGTTGATTTTGCTGCAGTGGCTGTGAAAAATTTCCTAGGGAGTATGCTGGCCTGCACTGGCTCTGGAAAACGTCTGGCATCCAGGCTACCTACAATCCTTCCTAGTGTAAAGACTCCAAATCTTATCACTTCCTGTCAGCAGTAGCAGACTGTGTGTACTTCCTGTCAGAGTGGGAGGGGGGCTTCCTCTGAAAATCAATACCTGCCTATTGTAGAGAGTACTGTCCAAGCAGAGGTTGGTGGGTAACCGGACATATTAGAAAGGTCACAAACTTCCCCACCAACGTTTGTTTGGAGAATAGAGATTGTTTATATCAGAAGAACATTAAGTATTGAGTCACTCACTCACTCATTTAAAAAAGACACTGGCACTGTTTGGTTGTATTTGTCATTTTTTGTCATTTTTTATATAAAAGATAATACAAAAAAAGTACAAGGCCTTTCCAAGGGCCTGCAAAATGAATCCACAAAGATCTGGCATCCTTCTAACTATACTGTATTATCGCATGTTGAGATTGAAGTTGTAATCATACAGACACACCCAGCCTGAATACCACTGGGATCATGTATTGTTGGACCGCTTCCCAATTAAGTATGCTATAAATCCAACTATTCACTAGTACTGTGCAGTCACTCACTGTTCCCTGGAGAATGTCAAAATCAACCGCTAGTTTTGGCTGTGCTCCCATAACTTGGCATTTTGGCAAGGACAGAGTGTGTCTAAATTCTAATTCTACACGTGAATCCTCAGTAGAAATGGCTGTACCTCTATCTCATTACCAACTTGGGCTGTAAGTCTGGCCTTTGGTTGCATATTTTAGTGTTCTGATATGAAAGATGTCAACACAACCTTGGCTGCAAATCTACTCCAGTGATCAGGTTCATTGCCTTGAAATTAAAAAAAAAAAAAAAGATTGACCGAATAGTATCACTAACAATGAATTATTACTAACATTGTTAGTGATAAAGTGTTGTCTACTGTGATAAAAACTTGAAACCGCCATAGTGGGTAACCAAGTCAGACTCATATTCACTGAACCAAGCAGTACAGGAATATTGTTCTTATTCATGAAGATCTGTATATGTGACTGACTTGTTCCTATCTGTCCACAGTGCGACGAGAATGGGCAGTACGGGAGGACGGTGCCTTCGCCATGCAGCTTCAGGAGGAGGAAAGTGAGTACCATTATAGAACAAAACCTAATTACAGATCTTATTGCTCCTTTTCCAAGCCTGAATCTGAAATGGGAGCTCAACCTAACTTCAAAATCTTAAAGAAGTACTACAACAAAGGTTTTATAATTTTATCTGACACTTAGATTAGAAGTTAGATGCCAAGAATATCCTGTATACTGTAGAAGTATCAATTGAGATGTACAAATATACCTACATATTAGGGTGCACCCACAGAAAAAAATGGGTGCAATTTTGGGTGCACATGCACCCAGTATTTTGAGCCCTGCTGTATAATGTATAATATTGTTGACCCCCAGTCGAGCAGCATTACTCGGGAAACATCAGTCGGCGCCGCACCGTGCGGAAGGACCTGGTCGTAGCGAAGGACGTCCAACACGAGGAGGATCGCGTCGTTCAGGAGGCACTCATGAAGAGGATCGAAGAACAGCGGAGAATGTAAGACATGATTTCTTTCTGAATAGCAAAGCTCTTTATTCACAACCACTTGTTTTCAATGACCGTCTGTCATCTTTATCAGGGCAATTATGACTGGTTCACTGTGCACTGAAGAACAGCAGAGAATGTAACTTATTGTAAGATAGCATTTCTTCTGATTAGCAAAGTTCTTTATTGACAACCACTTGTCTAAGATGACTTGTTTGATGACTGTCATCTTCATCAGACAGAGCAATTATGACTGGTACACTGTACACTGAAACAAGATGTTACTGGTTCGTTGTGCATATATTATTGTAAATCACTTTGTACTCTTTGTATACTTTTAAATTCACAGTTTTTACGGTCACTTCTGTACTGCAAATTTATCATTATCGCGAACTTTCTTTCTTCTGCACCTGCCTCCACTGTGAACATATACGAGTAGTTGTGCAAACATGTCTTTTTCTCAGACCATGAAATTTTGCCGCCACAAATTGAAAGTCATTTACAGTATATCGCATTCATTTGACTACCTGTTAATAAACACGGATTGTTGTTTCTGTGTATGTGTGTTTGACAGAGAGGAACTCGACCGAGCTGTTGCAAGTAGCATGCAGGAAGCCCTGGAGAGAGAACAGGAGAGAAAAGTCTTTCAGAAGGAGGCAGATGAGGTAAGGGACTATACATCAGTTCTGTGTCCTTTACAGACAGAATTTATCAAACATTCACAGAAGGAGGCAGATTAGGTAAGGGACTGTCACACAAGTTCTGTGTGCTTTACACAAATTACAGACAAAATCTGTAAAACAACCACCTTACAACTCTACATGACATGAACTTGCAGAAAGAACCGTATGAGCACCAACATTTCTACAGCACTGTATGACACTCATGCTTTAGGAATAGTATACATGCACTTCAAGACCACTGCAGACACTACTTAAAAGTTCCAAGTACAAAACATGTAGACGAAGCATTTTCAAGTCATACTAGGATACTAAATTTATTTGATTTCTCTACTTTTCTGTAAGGCATATATGTACACAAACGGCAGGCTAAGAGTTATAGTATCTGTCACAGTTTTTATTTTGTTGTGTTGTGTTTTCCTGTGATGGTGACCCCTTGTTCCCCCTGCACTAGTTGTGGCTGAAATCTGAGCTTGACGCCCAGCGGAGACAGGAACTAGAGGACGAGGTTAGAAGTCGTGCCAGAATCAGAGCTGTCTTTCTACTCACCGTTTCTCTCTCCACCTCTTTCAGCTACCTGAACCTTCCTAAACTCTAAACACCATGTAATGCCTGGCTCACTCTCAGTAACAAGACTTTATTCATTTTAACATATCTACAGTCAAAATAATGCTTTATAAAGAATATGTAATATGTAATTGTTGAAGTCACAGTGACAGTAACAGTGTGTTTTTGCTCTTTTTACATTCTTTCTGTGACAGTATGATGTTAAGTGCATGTTTCAGTTTCACATCTAAAACATTCATGTATGGTTGTCAGAAGCATCACTGTAAAATCCTAACCCAAACCTGCCCTGCTGCTGGCTCCACGTCCTGACAAGCTGGTCATGTGATGTGCTTCAGCCAATCAAGATGCTGCATTAGGTCATTGCGGATGATGGGGTGTTGCAGTATATTGGCATGCCTTCTAAAATAAACAGCCGGCATTCATGGCAACCTGAAACATTGATGGGAAACCTTAGATTTTTTAGCTGAGGTTGCCTAGTGGGTAACCTGAGAAAAAAACATTTTAAACCCAGGGATGTCTCAGACCCGCTGTGCTCCTTGCTTAAACAATACAGTCTGCTATGTACAATGCATTACGAGTTTTGCACAGGTGCAGTACGTTCTGCCGATGTGCTGGGTGTTACCTTCGCAAAATGAAGGACATCCCTACTAGAATGGGATGTCTGAGACCTGCTGTGTTCCCTACAGGAGCTGGCTAAGAAACTGCAGGACAGAGAGAGAAGACGGCTGGAGAGAATCAGCGCCAAGAGGAGAGAGAAAGCAGCGGAGGCAGAGAAATACCATCGGGACGCCGCGGCTGCCAGGGATGGAGGTCAGTAAAACTGAAAAAAAGTTGGTCTATACAAGTCAAAGTTGTGTTCTCTTCATGTGAAGGTTTTGAAAATACTTTTTTTTCATGTCCCAAGTGCCTCAGCAGATAGCTTGGAGCCTGAGTTTGCAAGGATATTTTGTTCAGTACAATGTATTTTCTCTGTCCTCCCACAAAGTTGCATTCTCTTCTTAAGAAGGTTTTGCAAGGATCTTCTTTTTCCCCTGTCCTAGGAGCCTCAACAGAGATCGGAAGGATAATTTGTTCATATTTATGTTTACTGAAGGAAAGCGTTTTTGCTCTGTTTCTTCTTCCGTTCAAAACACTGGTCAATGACATGAATCAGACTGTCTGTCACCATGGTGCTGAGTTACATAATGTTGCAATTTTATAGCAGGAGGGATTTAGACTCCTGTCTGACTATATACATGTATATGAATGTGTTTGAGTAAGAATTAACAAAGCAGACCATATGAAGGTAAACCTTATGCACTTGCTTTGCAAATCTTACCTTTCTAGTATTATGTTAAGAGTTTATCCCACTGGCCTCCTAAAAAGTGAAGATTTTGAAAAGATATTTTTTCCTGTCCAGGTGCCTCGGCAGACAGCCTGGAGTCAGACCTACAGCTGATGAAGGTGGGTTCACCTCGCCGCGCCGTGGACCTCCCGCCGGAGGGTTACCTGGACGACTTTGTGGAGAACAACGCGGACCCGGGTCTGAACGACGACAGCTGGGTGCCACCGGAGGAGCGGGAGGAGGGGGAGGGGCAGGCACAGGGGGACGACGTCATCGTGCCGCGCCCGTACGAGGCTGACGAGGTGAGAGGGGCAGTTGTAAGATTGGTCTCAGGGATAGTACTCCTGCAGGAACAACCAGAATAAGAAATAAAGGTCCCATTACACGCCATGCAGAGCATAGGGATGATGCCCATCTCCATTTCTGTAGCCCTTGGTTCACACAGTTGCGCAAGCACTATAGCCCACTATAGCCCAGTGGTAATGTTGTGTGTTTGACCTTCCCATACTCTTTCCCATAGATGAGTGCAAAGCAGAGAAAGCAGTATGAACCATTTTAAGGTCTTTGGTATGACCCGGCCATTTAAAAAGATGAAGCACCAATGAGAGTCCAATATAGGACTCATGCAAAACTGAAAAAAAAGAGAACAGTTTCGATTGGAGCCTATTACAAACTGTATCAACGATGAGCTCAAACTTAAATTCACTGTGACTGGTTGAAAGATTGGTTATGTTACAATTACAAACATGTAAACAATGATGAGTCAGATGCTCCCAAACACAAGCCTTATGAATATGAACTCTTTCACCAGGCCTATGCCAGACTTCTGCAGGAACAGGAGAAACAGAACGTTAACGTGGCCAGGAAGGACAGAGCAGTCGCCTCTACTGCACAGGACGAGGTAAGACTTCTGTGCAGGGTAGATGTAGACGGTCTGGGCATTCTGCATTTCAGAAGTGTGAAATTGCAGTGTAGTCTGGTATCAGTGGAAAAAACAGTATCAAAACCCAACATTGAGAGAAAAAGATTCATAATCCTCACCTTGTTACAATAACTTTGCATTTTGTCACTTTAAGCTAAGTAAAGATGGGATTAAACTGGATTATTATGTCTTTTCTTAGGAAATAGCCAGATATTTGCAGGACCGAGAAAGACAACTGTTTGTGAAAGGGATACGAGAGAGAGCCAAGATCAAACACTCCAAATCTGATCATTCCCACGTAGGTCCAGTCATTACAATTTACATACTCTGAGCCTTACATGCGCATATAAACTTTTGTCAATGCAGCTGAATACTAGTAAATGAAATAGAGCCAAAGAGAATTAATATAAGTCAGGGCTTGAAATGCCACCTACACAAGCAGGTAAGATTGGAGCTGTGCTAGTATTTCTGTCTACTTAGTATCTGCATATAAGATGCACTAGTACAGTAGGTGTATAACTATAAGGAGTTTACTTGGTGTATTGACTGTCACCACCTAAAAATCATTGTTTCAAAAAGCTTGCTTCATCCCCACAGCTACAACATAAGCTTCAGCAGGATTATAAGAGACAGGTCTCGGCCCCCACAACTGCTAGTGTAGTACGCGGCAGTAGTGGTGTTCACGGCACCAGTGATTCGGCGGCTGGGGCAGTCGGTGGCTCGGTGGTTGGTGCGACTGGGGGCTTGACGGCAGGGGCTTCTGGAACCGGCTCCCACGATAGGCGCGCGGACTCGCGAGGCTCCAGTCTGGGAAGGAACGAGACTATAAACACAGAGGTGAAGGTATGGTGGGCATGCGGTGGTAGAGAATGTCCTGTCTGGAACTCAGAAACGTTTCCCCAAATCTAGGATCTTCTAGCCTGGGTGCCAGACTGTTTCCAGGGCCTACATAGGCCAGTTCCTTGGCTCTAGGGCAAAGGAATTCATACCATAGCTTCCCTCAGTTAGGCCAGTTTCCAGGGCCCACACAGGCCAGTTCCTCAGCTCCAGGTTAGGCAGCAGGGAGATGGTTAATGATATAGCTTCTGCATTGCATCAGCTGAAAGTCATATGAAGAAAATAGTTGAAGAATGGTCTATACAGTTGTAAGGCATCTGGAGAATCTGGAAAGTAAATATGCAAACTCACTGGAGCATATGGTAGCCATATGGGCAGTTTAAGCCAGTTTTCCTAAGTCCTTTCATCCTTCTTTAAGCCAAAGTGCACAGAAATGCTCACATATGACACTAAAAACAGATAGTGGTACGTAAGAGTAAGGAATAATAATGTAAACATCATTCTGTAATACAAATTTAATAGATAAATCATAAACTAAAAAATAATTGCTCCAACTAAGCGATAACAATAGTACAACAAAAATAAATAAGAGAAGGCTGTATGTAAAATTGGCTTTTCAACAGTTTTTCAGCAGCTATGTTACTAAGCTTGTATTTATGTTTTGTTTTGTTTTGTTACTAACAGCGAGTAGGAGGGCTCTACGTTGACCTTGGAAGACAAAGTCATGACCTCCGTCACAGACCAAGGACAGTCCATGTAACTAATAAACAGTCATGTCATGCACTCTCTAACTCTGAAAAAAATCACCATAATAATATTAAACAAGCACTTTCCAAGCCTTAAACTGTCTATGGTAAACTGTCGTAAAGTGTCTATGGTGAAAAGTATCTGTGTCTTACTAGTATCTGGCTCTTCTATCTGTTGCACTTCCTCCCTCACCCTCAGTGTATTGTAAGTTTGTATGTTTACAAAATGCATGAGTAGGACCTGTGGCAGTGTGCACTTAATTATCAAAACTATCCTGTAGATAAGTCTCTGAAAGTGACATCAATCAATTAGTTACAAAATACTTTTACCAAAGTACCAAAAAGTGAGTGCTTATTGCTCAAATCGTTGTAAAGCAAAACTATTGAAAATTGTAGCAATAACAATGTCTTATCAGAGCAAATAGAAATAACCTGTCCTACAATAATGAGATCAGCACAAAAATATAGAAATTCTACCCCTGCAATGAAGAACTGTAAAGTGTCTTTCTCTTGCTACAGAAAAGGGTATTCTACTTCTGTCCTCCTGTCCTACCTACATAGTGTGTGTGTAAGGTTGCTAGACAAAGTAATGTGCTAGACTTTACAAAGTAATAGATAAAGTAGATAGCTGGTCATGGAAGTATATGACACAACAGTTGAAAATATTTTCCAGGCTGTTTCCAGGGTACTTTCATCTTTGAGCTCCAAATTTGGTTCAGGATCAGGGAGTGAGGTGGTAACAATGAGAATATTTTGTAAAAGGTGGTGTACGTTGTAGCTGGAGGTGTTGCTGTTGTCTTCATGGCCATAACTAAAATATACCCTCAAATTTAGCTTTTAGACTTAAGGGATCCTTGGTAGGTGTTGTCCACTCACTCACTATCTGTTTTATTGTCTGTTGTTCCCCATCTGGAGAGGGTTAGACATACTTGCACGTGGATGTTCAAGGTTTTGTGGTAGATTGGCAGCTACTGTGCTCCTTTTGGCTAACACTTTGAAGACTTCTCGGAAACTTAAAAAGGAGGCTCTTAGAAAATTCAAACTCTACTACTGGTACTAAGTTACGGAGATAACTTGCAGACATCTCCAGTGACATCCAACACTCTTCATTAGTGATGCTGAAGAAGAGTCACTCGAAATGTCCGAAAGTTATCTGTAACTTATACTTATCCAATAGTATAGAGTTTGAATCTATGAGTACTGTTTACCTTGATGTCCAACCTTCATCAACTTAATAAGAAGGGTATTTTGTCTGGTAAAGAAAATGTTCAACATTCTTAAAGACAAAATGTCTACAGAATTGGGTGAAAGAACATCTGTAGATGTGGTACTAGTGTAGGTATGAACTACCTTTTTTTTTCATATTTCTTCTCCCCAGGCTGTGCGAGATGTTGCCCCGGACTCACAACCTCTACAAGACGTCGCCGACACGCGGTCTCGCGGCGGCAGCAGTTCATCCTCCTCCCCACGAGGTACCACCAGCAATGACTCTACTCCAAACTTTGAAAATATCAACATAGCCAGTTTGATAGATCCGACATGCCGAGACAGACCGCCCGAACATCTGACCTCCGAACAACAAGGGGGTCAGCACTGGGTCAGCGTGAAGAAAGTAAACCTACCACCAACCGGTAAGGTTTGGTGCCGCCATGGCCTGTTAACACTGGTCCTAGTACACTACTGGAGCTAGCATTGGTCTGTCTGCATGCAAGCATGACCCCTATTCTTCTTGTAACAGACAAGCTGTAAAGACACCTCTATGTGCATGGGTATCTTGGACTGCACATTTCTGGAAGACTAAAACCTCACTATAACTTGGTATCAAGATCACCCATGCCTTGTGTACCACATAATACGCAACTCACGACTTTCAATGGAATGCCTAACTGTACTATTTCTTTGCTAAAACTGCTTTTGAACAATCTCTGTACCACTACCATTCTGACAATACCAAGGATGCTAAAATTGCTTGCATTTCTCTTGAAACACTTTTTTACTCCTTGTGCGATGCATGGTGTATCTCCAACACCTATCCTGTTGCATGATGTAGATTTCTAAAAGCTCACGCTCACATTGTAAATTCTTCAGCCAACCTTGCCTCTACACTTGGTACTAAATGCTAGCTCCAGTAGTTTACTGGGACCCTCAGTGTGTGTGTGTGAATTTGGTTTGGTTTGGTTTCTGTCATTTCACTGAACTTCATTTCCCATTCTCGTATTGATTGATTTACCTGCTGGCAAATCATCTCCAAATTCTATGGACTAATTATTGCTTTGTAGAAAATCTTCAACTAATACATGATGTCAAAGGATCTGTTTAGAACACCCTCCAGTTTAATTTGGGAGTTCCAGTTTAATTTGGGACAACCTCCCAAATATCATTCACTTTAAACCCAAATGGCCAAATATCACATCTGGTAGGAACAAATGAAGTTAGGAATACGTAGCCATCATTGATGAACCCCTGGGGACTAGCCAAATTCTGCAGAATTCTGCGACCTGGATGCAGAATTCTGCAGAATTCTGCAGAATTCTGCGACCTGGATGCAGAATTCTGTGCAGAATTCTGCAGAATCCTGCAGAATTCTGCGAACTGGATGCAGAATTCTGCAGAATTCTGGGAACTTAAACCAGGTTTTCCCTCAGTTTGGTGAAGTAAAGCTTATTGTTGAGTGTTAAAGGCGTGGCAAATCCTGGGGGGTCTTTAGCCTTGCTCCCTTATACCTGTCACATTGTGCACAAATCAACCAAATGACGAGTCTGCGAGCTCTAAATGACATTTTCATTGACTCAGTAATATATGTCCAGTGTTTTCTCCATCAGAGCACAATTTTTAGTGATCATCAACGATTTTCAGGAGTTGGCAGATAGTTGCTGTGCACCAAAACCCGACTTGACTCCGACAATCATGGAGGTGACAGAGCTCTGCCCTTGGGCTCCATCAATCAATTAAAAATTTACCAACAACTAATCAATATTGACTGAATCATTAACTTTTGCCAGGAATGTTTTGTCTCTCCTTGTCGGTGTGTAAGAGGTAACGCCATGTCATGTGAGGTTTCCTATTACATGTACATTGATGTATTCCCTGGGCAATTGCCCTGCCTCACTGGCATTTATTGTAGCATTTATTGGTGATGTTATGTTCGCCATCCAGCAAAGTCTTGCCGGTCTACCTCCAGGCACCCTTCGCGTGACCTTTGTTTGCCCAATTACCCCGATAGTGCGTTCTATAAGCGCCATATGGGTGGGTTATGGTCATTGGAAGTTGCGAAAAAGTTATCACATGGATTTTTTTTCATTTTTCAGAGACAATACGTACCGTGCTCTACTATCATGTAAGCCTTTACCCTTAATTAGCTCAGTGCAAAAAGTGTTATAAAAGATTTTTTCCTGTAAGAAAAGTAGATTTCAGAACAATCTATACCTACAGACCAGTACAACAGACCAGGGGATGCTTGAAGTGTAAATTTGGTCTATGATTAAAACAAACTCCTGCTGCCCCCTCCTTGAGATATACTTACTACATGCGCAGGTGATGGACTGATAGGGGTGAATATTCTGTAGCAGTAAATAAAAGGAATCTTACATGTTTAGATACATTGTGCATCCAGAGTGTACCTAAAAGTGTATTGGATGCGGCTCTTGTGGGTGCTTACAAATCTTAGATTGCTACTGGCTTGAGCATTGATTAGTTATGGTCCCACCCACATGATTGTTAAAACAAACAAACAAATCCTTATAGGGTTGGCCCACACTCCTAGAAAATCTTCATTAGTCACACCAGGGCTCCTATCAAATCTGGCACACATGTACATGCATGGTATGTGTGTGCCTGCTAAATACCTTCATGACAGGTGTCCTGTCCCTGTGTAACACTAACTCTCATTGGAGCTTCTCCCAACAGAGGGAGTCAGGCTACCCTACCAAACCCAGCTGTGACACCTACTCAAGCAACCCCCAAGTTAAGTTGTTACAGGTCATACAGAAAGAGAAGTGTTTTATAGCAGTTGACTCATGATTACTTATTAGATAGACCTGCCTGCAACTTGATAGTCAATAGTACAAAATAGTTTGGATATAAAAACATACTGCCGAACAGTCATCATCAAACATGCAGATATCTCTGACTGGTTGTTTAGTACTGTTCTGTGTCCTCAAATCAGTGTCTGTGTCCTTAAATTGTTTTTTCCCAGTATTCCTCCACCAACAGAGGCCCTCTAACAAAAGGTTGCCCCTTAGAGGTTGACCCAGTGGGGGGAATTGGGGTCAGCTGAATGACCAAAGAAGGTTGGCCTGAGCCACCCATGAAAGAAATGCATTCCTGAGAAGGCTAGCTCAAATTATTTTGTTCTACTTCTAGACTGAAGGAAAATAACCAAAAGACCTGAGAAAAGTACTGTCATATCCTATTAAATGCTAGATGTACAGATGGATTATATCTCCAGTACGTGTATCGAAAACACACACAGACATGCACATATGCACAGAGATTCTTTGCTACCTTGTAAGATGAAAGGGTATTTAATACATTGTATATCCCATTTCAGATAGAAAGTTGAACAAATTTGCTTTATAAATCTGGTATTCAATCCAATGAGCCATTTGTATGGCCATGCTTCAGTTCAGTTTTCAATGACGTAACTTAACACAGAGCTGATAACCTTGCAAAACAGTGTTTCCTACAAGCAGGCACTCATAAATGTAAAAACAGAAATCTTTTTCTTTATTTTGAAGTCAGAAAAAAATGAAGAGGTAAGTCCGAGAACCAACAAATTAAATTGGTGTGGCCTTATATCCACTCGGAATACTAGCCTCTGTCGGCTAGGCCTCTGTGGGTTTTGTGTGTGTTTGGGGCTTCAGGGCTTGAAGTTTACCTGGACTTCAAGTTTAACTAGTGGATGTCAAAAAGGCTGACAATCACAAAACAACATAGACCCCCCCCCCCTGGGGA